GGCAGAAGGTGGGTTTCTGGAGGGGAGTCTCCCAGGTCTGTTGGGCACAAAGGATGAAAGTTGGTGTTTTCTGGGGTAGTTTGAATCCAGGACCACCTAACCCTTTGGGGCTCTGTTTTGGGAGGACCAGGAAAGGGACTATGAGGAAAGCCTTTGAGAGTGAAAAAACAAAGTCATCAGCTATTAAAAAGTAATAGCGAGGAAGGAGAGGGTACTACTGTCCCTTTCTCTTCTCAGACTCCAATTGAAATCCATCCCGGGTTTTCCGGTCTCCCAGGAGCGAGGATGGGGTGGGGCGGGGTGGGGTGAAGAACCACCAGGAGCGGGCCGGCCGGCGCGGTGGGTGATCCCGGGATGCTGGGATTTAGGGCAAGGGCGGGGTAAGATGGGGAGCGGAACCCGGACCCCACAACCCTGCCCGAGCTGCCTCGGCTGTACCCTGCCTAACTACTCCTTTCCCAGCCGAAGTCCGCATCCAAGACCTCCCAACTCGACCTTGGCACTCATGTTGGGGGCGGGGGGCACAGCTGGTTGGCAGCTGGATGGGGGGGGACACTTCTCCCTCCTCCTTCCTCTATGACTCACCCAGGGGAAGGAGGCGGGCTTGTAAACGAACCCCCTAAACACTAGCCTCCCCCAAATTTGCCTACTCATCTGCCTGCCCCGCGGCCCAGCCTCCGAGAAGCCTCGGTGAAAATGGGGCGACATCCCTCCACGCCTACCGGTGCCACAGCTCACCCATGACTCCCCTTCACTAGTAAAAGAAAAATGTCGCCAACGTTTCCAGCTTCAGAAAAGTTTTTCTGGGGTGTGAGTGAAAGCGCAGGATGGTACAGGGAACTCTAGGGTTCCCCTGCCAGAGCACTCAATTATCGGTGTCTCCCTGTTTTCCTGAATCCTCGCACCCCCGCTCCCCAACTCCCTGGAGTCGGCTCCGCCCCCCTTCTCCCGGTCCCGCCTTCCCCGCCCCCGTGCCTGCTTGGCCCACCCAAGTCGCCGCCGCAGGCTCTGGCTACAGACGGCTCCGCTTCCCCCGCCCGCCTCGGGAGCCCAGTCCAGCGAGCCGTGGTGGGAGGCGGGGAGAGGCGGGACACATTCTTGCCTCCTCCCCTCAGAGCATCTGGAAAGCAGGCAACGGCCCTGGGGGGCACTATTAGAGGGTAGGGGTCCTAGTGGTGGGGTGTAAAAGAAAGAAGAATTTGTAAACTACAAGGAAGAGAAAGTGACAGGGTAAATATAATAAGGCGTGTACGAGGAGGAGGGGCCAGAACACCTTAGTCAGTTAAGGGTATCCCAGCCGGCTGCTCAAGGGTTAACCCTTCCAGACCCCCGGGAACCCCCTAGTGACGTCAAGGGCGGGGGCTGAGCAGTCAGGTGGGGATGCCGGGGAGATAATGGGGAGGAGGTCTTTGGACCCCGCCCCCCTAGGGAAAACCACCCTTATTCCGGCCCTTACGGCTCTCCTGGGAAACCGCCCATCTTCTCCTTCTACCCGACCGTCAAGACCTTCCCTGTGGAGACCCCAGTTCTCAGCCCCCTAAAACCTTCAGTCCTCAGCCTTTACTTAATCCTGTCCCCAAAGCTAGCTGATTGTTTCGGGGTCACGAGGCCTGAAAGAGGATTCAGAGCGGGGACCAAGGGCAGGCAGGGTGGTCTGAGCCAGAGGAGGGGCCTCGGTCCCCAGCTCCCGTTTGGGCGGGGGGCCAACGGGGATACACAAGCTAGCAGGGGCCAATGGTCCCGCCTAGCCCCAGTAGGGGTCTCCCTGCGGCTGGCTCCAGCTGCCCTGGTGGTCCAGAGGTCAGAGGGTCAAGACTAGGTTTCCCCAGTTCCTCCTCAGCGCCCATCCGTTAGCCTTTGCGACTACGATGTCCAAAATTCCTTTCGGTCACTCTAGGGCCTAGACTAGACCTTGGACAGCCCCTCCGCCCCCTTCCTCGTCTAGAAGACACTTCTTTGCCCCTAAACACATGCATCTGTGGGTACATCTGTCACAAGACAGGTCAGGGGTTCTAGCCAAGCTTGTGGCCAGTGGTTCTGTTGCCTCACGCACACACCCGTCCCCACCCCACCTGGAGCTCCCTCCTACGAGGTCCCCTCCTTTCAGAAAACTGAAGTCTTCCTGCCCGGTGCTCAGAGACACACCTGAAGATCCCTCTTTACCCCGCAGATTTCCAACTAGCCTTCCCTCCAGCCTCTGTGGCTCAATCTCGAGAAAGTGAGAAGTTTCAAATACGTAGAAGAAGCAGAAACAGACAAAGGGACTCACGGTTGCCTGACACAGAGATACACAGACTGTCAAAAAAAAAAAGAGAGAGAAGACACAGAGAAAGATACAAACGAAAAATCCTCCGAACTTTCTACTATCTCACTCCACTTTCTCCCACCCACATTTTGCCTCTGTGCCCCGGGGGCTGGGATGAGTCCCTCGGAAGCCGAAAGTCCCCTCAGGTCCCCTCCCCCACCGCTACCAGGTGGTCCCCCGCCTACCCCCCTTCTCACCTCTGTCTGGGCGCTGAGCTTGGGATGCGCGGTCCAGGGCTGGAGTCTGGGCTGGGGGGTGTGCGGTGGGGAGGGGGGGCGGACAGGGCCACGGCAGCACAGCCTCAATGCCACCCCCACCCCCCCCAACCTGGCCCCCAGCCCTCCCGCCGGCCCAACCCTCCGGGCCGCAAGCCCGGACCACCCGCGAGAAGCGCAAACTTTTTTTTCCTTTTGCAAAAACTTTTTCTCGCTCCAGCCGCTGGCGCGCCACCGCTCTTCCCGCTCGCCCCTCACCTCCCTCCTATTTCCCTCCCTCTTGTCCTTCTGGATGATGAGGCGGGGTAGCTGCAAGGGAGAGAGGGGGTGCCAGGCTTATTGCACCCCTAGGACCCCCAGGATCCTCCCCCTCCCTTGAGGGACCCTGTACTGCCTCCCCCCCTCCCGCTGAACATGCTGCTGTTGGTGAGCAGTAAATCCCGGCATGGATCCTTGGATCGGGTGTCCCCAAAGAGACCCTGGACCAGAACCAGAAAAACAGATTGAGGAAAATATTGCCGAAGAAGGGGAGACGAGGGGAGAGTTCGTCAGAGAAAGATAATATCGTAAGTAGGGCAGTCGATTCTGATTGGTGCTAACTGAGCATTTGGCCATCCTGTGGTTTATCTGCTGGCCTCCTTCGGATGGAATTTAGAGGGGCTGGGACAGAACTGGGGTTTGGGGCAAATGGAGTTGAGGGACTGGGGGTTCTGGTGGAAGGTGAGAGCTCTATGGAACATAAGAAAGAGGAGGAGCGGCTGAGGCTGAGTGCAGGGTGTGTGTTCACAAAGTCACTAAGGAACCCTAGATCTAAAGCCTTTCCATCTCCTCTCTCCATCTGGAATTTCTGAAGACTACGGCCGCCTCTGTACCTCTGCACTGCAGGTTCCCTTTCCGCTGCTCAGCAAGGCTTTCTACTCCCTCTGCTGGCCATTTTGGTACAAGACACCTCCCGAAGTCCAGGCGAAGGAGTCTTGACAGGTTCCCTTACTGAAGCCAGATTAGGAGTTCAGGGAGTGAAATGTGTGTGAGCCCAGAGAAACGGAGAGGCACACTGGCAAGAGTACGCTAGTGCCGAGAGGTAGTGCCTGACAGAGAAGTGCCTTGTCCCTTTAGATTTGTGTTGCTATGGTGACCAGATATTGGGGAAGGGGCAGCTATTTCAGTCTCTCTTTCTTGAAAAAAATGGCGAAAGCATGGTGGGAGAAAGGAGCCCCTTCCCCTTCCTGCTGCCCCCTCAGACAGATCTCGTGTATCCTAGCTCTGCTTCCAAGGACCACCTCCTTGGGCTTGGAAGGTTAACTGTTCAGTCTGCAGGTCATGGGGGAGAAGAAAAGGTGAAGTTAGCTTAAGATCTGGGACCCAGAGGCTTAGGTCCCAGCGCAGTCACTGAAATGGTCACTGAAAAAGAAGGTACCCTACACATGCTCCTGTCCCAGCCTCATGCCCCTTGCTTCAGAGGAGCTCTTTAATTAATTCACTTATTTTTAGAGATGGGATCTTTCCATATTGCCCAGGCTGAAGTCCAGTGGCTATCCCAGGTGTGATCCTAGTGTACTATAACTTTGAACTCCTGATTTGAAGCAATCCTCCCACCTTAGCCTCCCAAGTAACTGGGACTACCGGCTCTGGGCAAGAGGAGCTCTTAGAATATGCTATTTTTGCCCGGTGCGGTGGCTCACGCCAGCACTGTGGGAGGCTGAGGAGGGAGGATTGCTCGAACTCAGGAGTTCAAGACTTGCCTGAGCGAAAGTGAGACCCCCGACTCATTAAAAAAAAATGGAAAAACCCAGCCGGGCGCTGTGGCGAGTGCCTGTAATCCCAGCGGCTTTGGAGGCTGAGGCAGCAGGATGCCTGCAGCCGGAGTCTGAGGTTGCAGTGAGCTCCGACGCCACTGCCCTCTGCTCAGGGCACAGGGTGGAACTCTGTCTTGACAAAAAAAAAAAAAAAAAAAAAAGAATATGCTAATTTTTTCTCCCCACTTGGTTCTGTAGATCAGTAATACTCAAAGGTTTTGGTTCTGAGACCCATATATACTCTATACAATTTTGAGCTTTTTGTTTATATGATTTGTATCTATCAGTTCATCATATTAAGAATTTAAAACTGGGTGGCGCCTGCGGCTCAGAGGAGTGGGGCATTGGCCCCAAATACCTGAGGTGGCAGGTTCAAACCCAGCCCTGGCTAAAAAGAATTTAAAACTGAAAAAATGGTAAGACAAGAATACTCAAGCACACATTCCATTAACAATGATGTTAGATGATGTAATCACATGCTGTGTAGCCTCTGGAAAACTCCACCATACAAATTGGAAATAGAATTAAAAGGGCAAATAGCATCTTAGTATTATTATAAAAACAACTTTGAATTTGTAGACACCCCTGAAAGGGTCTCAGGGATCTCTCAGAGGTCCCCAGACCACATTTTGAGAACTGTTACTCAAGACTATCACCCTAACCCATCTTTATAATCCACACTTGTTGATTTTCATTCTCATTTTATTAAGAAAGTATAAACGCTATGTAGTCAGCTAATTGTGTGAGATAGACCAATTGTGTGAGACAAACACCTTTTTTACACACACACAAAAGAGAATATAAATGCTTGTCTCCCCAGTAGGTCTTGTTCCTCTGAAAGACCAGGGGACTTCTTAGGCTTAGCATCCTCTCTCTAGACTCCCACTTCTGGGGCTGTCCTAAACATCTTCCCTCAGCACCCTGCCCATTCCCCCTTGGCCTTCTATTAAAGCACTTCCACAAGTCCTCACCCTGGGCCAGCCGGTTTGCCTTGCCACAGCCTGTGATGTCCTCTCTGCTTTTCTTCCTCTCACTTGAGGACTTTCTCTCTCTCCTTGGGAGAGACTAAGTAATTTTTCTCTGTATTCTCCTCCTCTCCCTCCTTCCCTAGCCCTATCATCTTCTCATAGGACTTAGGGTAGGAAACCATGCTTTCTGGGTATACTCCTTTAGAGGAAACACTTTACCCATCTCCCCACACATTAACCAGCCTAGAATAAGCCAGTGTCTGGAACGAGAAAGTGACGATTTAGGTCCCATGGGGTTGACCCAGTCATACTGTCAGGTAGCTATTGGGTGGGGGTGTGGATCAGGAATCTGATGCCTCCAGCCACAGATGCCCTTTGCTTGAGAACCCTCAACTTGATCTCTTCACTTCATATCCCAAAGTTGCCTTGCTAGCTGCAGCCACAGGCCTCCACCACCATATCTGGCACATCTGTCTTGACCACATTGCCATTGTGATCAAGGTAGAGGAGAGAGAGAGGCCTTCGAGCAGTGGGGACACAGCAGGAGGTACTGGCAGGCCAAGGATTATTGGCTTTGAGGAGGCTGAAGACGGCAGAATGGAAAGAGGCAGCAATGCCCGGGCTGCCAGCCAGGTGCGGGGGGCACTGCCCACTGCAGTAATTCAGCTGGTACCCCTCGGGCTGCAGGATCCAGTCCCGCCATCCCAGCTCCTGGAAGTCTACGTAATGGTCTCGCCTACAACATAAGGGGTTCCCAGGCTCACAGGTGGGGGTCCTCCTCCTGGCCCGGCCTGCTCCAGGGTCATTGGCCCTTATCTTAAGCTCCAGGAAGGGCCGATGGTGTCCGGCTGTGTCCAGGAGCCATCTCAGTGGTTCAGCAACTGTGCTGTTGTCTTCTAGGGGTCTGCAATCCAACTGGAGTTTCAAGACACCAGACTCCTCACCCCTCAAGCCACTAGAGGGCAGCGTCAGGGCATGCCAGCCCGGAGTAGTCATTTGGTGGTCAGCCAGGAAGGTGCGGGACCCTCGGTGGTGTCTCCTCCTGGAGTCCCATCTGGAGATCCTCAAGTAAAGAGTACTAGGAAGGGTGGGCAGCACGTGCAGCCAGAGGCGGGCGTGGTACAGGTGGTGGAACTGAGGAGTGGACAGGTGGAAGGTGAGCATGGAGCTGCAGGCTGAAGTAGAGGAATCTGCCCAAAAGATGGAGAAGGGAAAGAGAAATGTAAGCAGAGATAGAGCTCCCCTCTGAGACTCCCCCAAACCCTGCCCGTAGCTCTCCCTCACACCCACCTTTAGGAAAAACAGGGTCTGCCTTGTGTTCTCTGCAACCAATCCTTGACCCAACTCCTTCTCCTGCCACACCCCACTCTCTCTGCATCTTCTGCCAGTCTCCCCTTCTTCCTTCCTTTCCCTGTCTGTTCTCTGCCTGTCTCTCTCACCCTCACCTACCTGTGCTGGTAGCAAAGCTGATGACCTCCTCCCCATTCCCTGCAGCCACACTCCCCAGCTGTAGTCTCCGAAGGGCTCTGGTCAGCGCTGCCTGGGGTGGAGGACGAGTTATTCTGGGGCGATTGGTCAGCTGCAGCCCCTCCAGGATTTGCTGCTTGGCTAGCTCCAGCACCAGAGCTCGCTCTGCTTGGGGTGCCAGGGTGGGGCCACCACAGGAGGGACACACGGATCCTGCCCCTTGTGCCCACACCACCACCCACAGCAGTACCAGTGAGAGCCGGACATCAGGGAGGCCCATGCTCCTGGTGAACTGCCCTGGGTCAGGAGCCTTGGATGGCAGTTGCTCCATCTGTTGAGTCTGATTGCGTGAGAGCCAATGAGGGCACAGTGGCAGCAGACACGAGTGCCACACCTACCCTTGGCCAAGGTTAGGGCCACCTGTCTTCTATAGCCTGGCACTCAGGAAGGCTGAAAGTAGATCATCTGATGGGTAGCTGTGTTTGACCCTCACAGCTCATGTCTGCCTACTGACCTGGGGCCTCTTTAGAGCCAACTGCTGGGGGCTCCCTAACCTAATGGTCAGGAGACTGACCTACCCTCTGAGCTCCAGGATTGGCCAGCTGTGCTGCTCATCAAGTCCCTGCAGGGGGTGGAGGTCCTCCCCACCCAGCTCCGGTTTCACCATTTGGCCATGATGACTGGGCTTGAGGTAGGGGTATGAGGGGGGGCAGTGTGGACACATGATGCAAGAAAGAGGATGATTTCACATGCTTAGTCCCCAAGGCCTGGGACTGGGGGAGGGAACTCCACATGAGCCAGGTGGGGAAGGGCAATTTTCTGCCATATCTCCAGTCTTTCTAACTTGCCCACTACTGTAGCAGTTTCTATGAGGCAGCTGTGAGTTCCAGTGGTTATTTCCCTAGGGCCTCTTGGCCAGAAGGAGAATTGTGCTCTCTTAATTGCTAGCACTGGGACTAGGACAGGAGTTAGGAATTGGTGTGTGGGGGGGACACAGTTAGAAAACAGAGCCCTCTTGCTCAGGCCCAGGTGGCAGTGCCACGAGGCATGGAAGTCACTCCCTGACCCTGGCTGCGCTGGCTGCCCAGAGTCCAACTGGACTGGAGCACCTGGAAGAGGGCCAGAGCAAGTGGGGGCAGGGGACGTGTTCTGTGATGTCTGGGGAAACCCAGAGAAGTGGTGGTGGTGGTGATGCAACATTCCTCAGAGCGAAGTCCACCAAGGCTGGTAGAGGCCTATGGCTTGGAAAGGCCCACACCTAGCTGCTGTTTCTCTTTAAAGGGAAGAGTTGCCTAGATTGGGGACATTCTAGAAGTAGTGCCACAGTTGCTCAGTAGTGCCTGGAATGTAGTGGTGCAATCGTAGCTCACTATATACAGTCTTGAACTCCTGGGCTCAAGCAATCCTCCTGCTTCAGCCTCCTAAGGAGCTGAGACTATAGGCATACATGACAACATCCAGCTGATTTTCCTGTTTTCATAGAGATGGGAATCTCACTATGTTGTTTAAGCTGGTCTTGGACTTCTGGCCTGAAGCAACCTTCCCTCCTTCAGCCTTCCAAAGTGCTGGGATTACAGGCATGGGTGGCCTAGACCTCTATAATAGGGACAAAAAAAAGGGAGGTTTAAGGGCTTTTGAGAACAAAATGAGAAAAGTAGATCAATCTTAGTTTCAAGTCTCAGCCCTCCTTATCACACTTCCTCACTGTTTTTTCTGTTTTTTGGTTTGAGATAGAGCCTCATTCTGTCACCCAAGCTAGAGTGCTGTCCACAGCCTTTGCCAAGCTCATAGTAACCTCAAATTTCTGGGCTCAAGATAGCCCCCTGCTTCAGCTTCCTGAGTAGCTAGGACTACAGGTGCCCACCATAATGCCTGGGTAATTTTTCTATTTTTAGAATAGATAGGGGTCTCACTCTTGCTCAGGCTGGTGTCAAACTCCTGAGCCCAAAGGATCCTCTCACCTCAGCCTCCCAGAGTGCTAGAATTACAGGTGTGAGTCACCACTCCAGCCCTCACTGGTTTTAAATGGAAGGGCCTAGACCCTTCCACCTTGGACTCATGAAGGTGAGCTTCATGCTAGCTATTCTCTTCAAGAAGCTTGGAGGGGGGCAGCACTCATAGCTCAGTGGGTAGGGTGCTGGCCACATACACTGAGGCTGGCAGGTTTGAACTCGGCCTGGGCCAGCTAAAACAACAATGACAACTGCAACAACAACAAAAAAATAGCTGGGCATTGTGGTGGGCACCTTTAGTCCCAGCTACTTTGGAGGCTGAGGCAAGAGAATCGCTTAAGCCCAAGAGTTTGAGATTGCTGTGAGCTGTGATGCCACGGCACTCTACCCAGAATGACAGCTTGAGACTCCATCTCAAAAAAAAAAATAATAAGCAGAAGCTTGAGGGGAAAAAGGCTGGGGAGGAGGGGAGTGAGTAAGATTCAGAAATATGTCACTCCTCCTTATTTACCTCTCATTTACTTAGCTGGGCACTGTCAAGAGAGACAGATCTGGCACGGGGGCAGGGGTTGCACTGTGAGGGCTTGGCCTCAGTACCACCAGTGTCCACCATGTGGCAGTACAGTGCCACTGGACAGCAGGTGGCTAGTAGCTGACTGGTGCTTCCCAGGGATAGGGAAGGGGGCTGCTCTGGGGAGTGGAGCAAGGGAGTACTGCTCAACCTCTCATTCTGGGGACCCTGCCTCTCCTATAGGAGTCACTGAGATGCTGGATCCTCTGCCCTTTCTCTGTCACCACTGCCAGAGAACAGAGGCTGTCCTCAGGACCCAACTCACTGCTACCTTTGGTTTTAGACCTCATCACAATGACACGTGGCAGTGGAGCTTGATGCCATGGCTCAAGCTTGATGCCTGGCTTGGTGCCAGGCTCTTCCTAGAACCTTAGGGCACCACGTGGTGGAGAAGGGAGGAGGGGCAATGAGACTCTTAGACCCTCCTGTCCACCTTGCATTTCTCCCCAGGCCTCTGTGTAGGGATGTCCCCACGCCCCAGTCCCTTCTCTGTTGGGGGCTGGTGAGTAACAGCCTTCTAACCCCTGGGATCTGAAACTTCAAAGTGGAGGTGTTTGTTCATGGTGGTGCCTCAGAGGGCTTACCTATTGGTGCCAGGAGACAGAGGGGCCAGCCACTAAAGCTGTAGGTGGGAAGCAATTAGAAGTTGCTGTGGGAATCACTGACCCAATCTCTCCCTGCCCTCTAGGTTGGGTGCCCCCAATTTCCAGCTCTTCCCTTGCTGCTGCGCCTGGCCTGGCCCTACCTCCCTACTGACACTTACGTCAGAGCTCAGCTATAAATATACTCTTACCATCTTAGTCAGTTTTCCCAAGAAGTGCTCCCAGGTTATAAATACCCCAGCCATCTGCCTCACTGCCTGCCCTACCACCAACCTGGTTGGGGGCTGGGGGTAGCAACAACAGGTTTGGGGTGGGTAAGCAAGTAGAAGAAGCGGGAGTGATTATCTTGCCCAAATAAGAAAAGCCTGAAGGAGTCTAGAGGTAGGGGCTAGGAGGCTCTGAAAGAAAACATTTGGAAAAAGACAGACCCACTCTTTCCCCTTTTTACAAAAAGCTGAGCCAAAAAAGAAAAGGAATAACACTGATTCTGTATTTATTTTAAAATATGCTATTTTGTTGTGAACTTTTTTGCATTAATTTTGATTTTGAAGAAATATTGCATTAAAATCTTATTATCTTGATTGATGATGTTTTTTGCCATCCCCTTCAAATTTTGCCCCTAAGGTGAGCAGCTGACTTTACCTTGCCCCAGTCTTGGTCCTGGGGACTAAAGCTGTAGGTGGAGAAAAAGCAGGTTAGATCAGGAGTGTGGGGGATTGGAGAGGGAGGTGACAGTGGCAGAAAGGAGAGGGAAAGCCACCGGAAGACCTCAGATTCTCCTGAGATAAAGGTCTCCTCAAGTCAAAGGTGGGAAACTTCCATAGGTTGCTCAGGAAGCCTCCAGCTCAGATCTGTAGTTCCTCAGGAGGTCCTTTCAGACTTTCTCCTCTAGGGCTCCAATTTCAGGGACCTCTTACCCTGGCGGGAGAGGATTATAAACTGAGCAAACACAGACATCACGTTCACCAAAGGACACATGGGTTTTACGCAAACTCGGCCTTGGGCTGCAGACAATATCGACCTCACCGTTCAGAGTTGTCCAGCCAAAGGGAGGAGACTGGGGGGAAAGAAGGGCAAAGGTCTAAAGAAAACCTGTCTCAGAGCAAATGCCACCCTCTCTTCGTCCCAGGCCTTCCTCTTCTTTTCCCTGTCCCATTTAAGCAATCCTTGCCAATTCCAGCTTCCAGGAGGGACTCCCGGATATAGCTCTCGGGGGCAGGTGAAAGGAGGCAAGTTAGAGGTGCTGGTTCCAGCTCTGAGTATGCCTCTGCCTCTCACCACTTGTGTGGCCACAGACTGTTGGCTTACTTAATGATTGAGCATTGATTTGTCTCATTTTTTGGAATGAGTACAGAGGGAGGAGAGGAGCAAGTAAAATCTAGATCTTTTATTAGCCATGAGACCATCAAAGGTAGTTCTGAAAAGATGGAGGGAGGGCAGAAAGAAGAGGCAGCCTGGGGGAGGAAGAGGCATGAAGCGTGAGACAGATGCAATAGTGACATTAAGAGAAAGCAGAATAGGCAAGACGGGCAGGCTCCGTGTCTTCTGGGGTGCCAGGTAAGGGTCCTGGCAGTAGAAGACCTACTCAGCACCTGGGTTTGCTTCATCGAGAGGACACAGTGAAAGAATTACTTACAGAGGTGTAGGCAGGGTTAGGAGAACCAACGAGGGATGTAGACACCCCCAGGGATAGCAAGGTGGCACGTCATTAGAGTCATTAGGACCCCCGAATGTTGAAGCAATGATAGCAGAACCTAGGCAAAGTCGGAGCTGTGAAAGAGGTAACTGGAGAGGTGCTACAGGTGGCTACAGCACAGCCACGGGTACTATGGCACCTAGGCACGGGAAGCAGGAGTAAGAAATACCCTGATCTCTGTCTCCTCCTATTCTTTGGCCTCCTGCCTGTGTCCTCCCTAGTCAAATCCATCAGGAAGCCAGAAGGCAGTGTAGGTCAGGTGAGTCAGCCCCTATGGACATAGAGAAAGACAGAGAGGGACAAAAAATAGATGAGAGTATGCAAAGAGAGCATTTGTAGCTCCCCTGGGCAAGTAAGAAGGAAAGGGGCTCAAGGCTCAGAGCCAGGTAAGCTTCAGCTTTGGAGAACAGTGATGTAATCTTTGGTGAATCCCAGGAAGAGCTCTCTCGAGATCCAGAAAATCAGGGGAAGGGGCTGGGTCAACTCAACCTAGAATGGGGACCATCACATGGAAAGAGCAGGAAGGGATGGTGGATTATGGTCAGTTAAGGGTGAGCTAAGGATGTCTTCCTGGGAACCAGATGGTATTGCTCACAGTTGGAGGTGGGTCTGAGTCCCTGGAGTGGGAATGGAGTAGGTGGAGCTAGCTGGACAGGCTATCCCTAGGAAGAGGTCATTAAAATGAAAGTCTCATCAAGTATCAAGTCAAAGATGAGACCATTTCTGTAGGTTGCTCAGGAAGAGGGAGCCTACACTCTGCACAGAGAATAAGGTCATTTTTTCCTCTCAAGAAGGGGAATTTCTGCACCCAAACTTCTGTTTGCTCACACACAGACTAACTGCACCCACAGGCTTCTACCACCATGTCAGGTATGTCAGTCTTGATAATATTGCTGTCCTTGTCATAGTAGAGCAGAGACAGGGGGCGCCGGGCTGTGGGTACACAGCATGAGCCCCCTCCAGAGGTGCCTGCAGCTGTGTTGGCCTTGAGCAGATTGAGCACTGCAGTGTGAAAGGAGGCAGCGATACCAGGCATGCCTGCCACATGCAGTGGGCATTGCCCTGTGCAGAAGTTCATTGCATAGCCTTCAGGCTGGATAATCCAGTCATGCCAGCCAATCTCACGGAAGTCCACAAAGAACTCTTGTCGACAGCACATCCTGGACCTTCCCTGGCAGTCAATGCCTCGTCGGCGAACCCGGTGCTTGCCCCCAACTCTCACCTGGGCCATTATGAAAGGCCTATGGGCAGCCTCAGCCAGGATGAATGAGCTCTGGGTTACCTGGCTTTCAGGTACCAGCTCAAGAGTCAGGTGTCCCTGGCTGCAGGCAGCCTGAGCTTCAGGGCCCAAGGAGAGCTGGTACCAGCCACTGGCATCCACTTCCAGGTGCTGAGTAGCCAAGGTGAGGTTGGTGTCATGTGGGCCTAGGACAAGGACTCTCACTTTCAAAGTTCTGGTGGTATTGAGAGGGAGCTGCACAAAGAACATGAGGCTGGCCTCCTGGACCTCCATGCCACCAGCAGTTCTATCAGAGAAGTGAAAATCAAGATGAGTCCGGTTGATGTTGGAGAGGCCTGTGGACACAAGAAGCCCCAGTCATTGTGGCCTTTTGAGTTTCAACACTACCAATTACTTGCCTATACTCAGCATACTTGGACTCTCTGAAGCACTTGGTATCTGCTATGATTTGAATGTGTCCCCCAAAGTTCATGTGTTAGAAATTGGATCCCTGGCTTGGTGCCTATAGCTCAGTAAGTAGGGCCCCAGCCACATACACTGAGGCTGGCAGGTTAGAGCCCGGCCCAGACCTGCTAAACAACAATAACAACTGAGACCAAAAAAAAAAAAAAAAGAAAAAAACATAGCCAGGCATTGTGGCAGACATTTATAGTCCCAGTTACTAGAGGCTGAGGCAAAAGAATTGCTTAAGACCAGAGTTGGAGGTTGCTGTGAGTTGTGATGCCACAGCACTCTACTGAGGGTGACATCATGAGACTGTCTCAAAAAAAAAAAAAAGGAATTGAGTGGCGCCTGTGGCTCAGGGAACAGGGTGCCGGCCCCATATACTGAGGGTGATGGGTTCAAACCCAGCCCTGGCCAAACTGCAACAAGAAAATAGCTGGGCTTTGTGGTGGGTGCCTGTAGTCCCAGCTACTCCGGAGGCTGAGGCAAGACAATCACCTAAGCCCAAGAGCTGGAGGTTGCTGTGAGCTGTGACACCATGGTACTCTACCAAGGGTGACAAAGTGAGA